TGTCTTAATGGTGGGACTAAATATGCCCTAGAATAAGACTTCTCCCACTCAATACTGCAGGCATTTTAGGCTGGAGTGTTCTCCATCAGAAGGAAGGGAGCTGTGCTGTGTATTGGAGGAAGTTAACACCATTGGAGCTTGGGGAATAAGACAGTAAAGTGCATGCTGTGCAAACCAAAACTTGATCCCTAGAAAATATATTTTAAAAAAAATAGTTGAACTAGTGATATGCTCTCTCATAGTCTCAGACTTCAAGATGCTGAGAAAGGTAAGTTCCTAGGGTTTGCCAGTCTAGCCAAACCAGTGGTTTCCAGGTAAAAGTGATAGAGAGACCCTGTCTCAAAAAAAAAGCAAGGTGAATGGCATCATCCAAAGTTGGCTTCTGGAATCCATAGATATTCACACACACACATGCACACAATCATGCACACACACGTTTACACACAAGGAAGATAGCAGCATCTATGACCATTAGCAGTGGCATCCTCCTCCAAGCATCCATCACCAAAACTGTCTCCAGGTATCACCATGGAGCAAAGCCATGGTACTTGAGGACCATTACTCTGCACCAGAGCCTCAGCTAGACCTTTCACAGATCTCCCCAGTAAACGCCAACAGGTCCAAGCTGTCTGCAAGCTACTTAGTCTACAACCAGAACGCAGCCAATACTCTTTACAGAAGTAGAATAAGATCAGACATCCAACAATGCAAAAGTCACAATAGCTGACATCCAACTGAAAAACTGCCTCATACGTAACGAAGAAAGAAAACACAACTCATAACCAGGAGGCAAACCGATCAGTAGAAATAGATGGGGAAGTAAGAAAGAAGGGTGAGTGTCACCAACAAGAGCCTTGGACCCCCATTAGTGTTTGCCTTATGTACTTGGGAAGGTTAAGAGAATCGTGAACCAGAGAGAAGTAGAACTTGTAAGGAGCCACCTAGGAATTATTTTATTTTGTTTGCTATTTGGTGTTAATGCTCTGCTATTGCTCTGGGCCCACTGAGTCACAGTGGTCTTAGCTGGGTCACACATATAGAGGGACTTTCAAATGTCACCATGACTCTTTTAGGTAGCCAGACTTTTGCTAGCAAAAGTCTCCTCACTAGATTGTAAAAATTAATAATAAGGTAAGTAGAAAATAAAAAAGCAGATGGTGAAAGAGGCTTAGGTAAATAGTGTTTCCCACATATAACACCTTCCCCTAGCTCATTTCCTGAAGACAATGTTTAAAACTGTCACCCATCAGAAAACAGATAGGGAAGCCTCAACCTTCAAGCTCTGGCATGCACCTATTACCAGATAGGTCTCAATAACCTTTTGAGAGGTTGTAATGAATATGATAATGGCAAATTGTCATGTTTTATTTGAGATCACCAGGGCTGGCTCTGGAGTGTGCATTCCCAACCCCATTTTAGACCAAAGCATGTTTGTCTCAAAGACTTCTCTGAGGCCCTCTGTCTGGGGATGAGTCACCCACCCCAATTCTGTTTCAGGGAACACAAAACAGCCCATGAGCAAAACTGTTGTGACCTTTAGAACAATGAGAAGGTGAACTGTTTCCAACAGAGGTTACTGTTGCTTATCTTGGGATATAAAAGTGTCTGCGGTGGGAAGGAGAAGCTGGACGGCCAACCATGGAAAAAATGCTCAATGGAGAACTTCTGCTGACTGCCTCAGCCTCCCTGATCAATTTCTGTTGGATGTTGTGAGCCCCCGATTCCATAACATTATCTACATCTGCTCCTTTTCCTTTGGAAGCCTCACCTGAGGGTCAACCTCCCTCCCCCTCCCCTTACCACCCCTGCCCCCAGCTCTGCTGGGAATTCCATGCCTCATGAGGGCTTCCCTAGTTGGTTCCTGCTGGGTGTTTGTAAACCTTGATTTGGTAACATCACCTTTTTGTTGTTATTTGTTCTTTTCCTTGGAAGCATCTCTGGATGGGTCAGTCTGCTTTGCCCAGCGCAGTCTCTACAGGGAACACCAGCTGACTGCTTTAAAGGGGCTTCCCCATTTTGGCAGGATGTTCTGAATGCCCAGTTTGGTAATGTTTTGCCAACTATGTATCTATTTCTTTATCTGATAATTGCTATTTACTCTTTTAGTTTGCCTTGTTGTATACTTAATAACTTACTCAAAACCAAATGTATGGATGCTGTACCTTATTCCCTGAACCCTGTAGAACAGAGATACTTAAACACACCCACCCTGGGAGATGCATATCAATCATACAACTCTATGGCTTCTCCTCCCATGGTTGGTGAAGCCATCGGAGCCTTTTCATGGGGCACCTCAGGAAGGCATGCTCATAATGTGAACAGCAAACACAGTTTTCAAATGGGACTATCCACATCCAGATATGGCTTGGTTAATTTCTTAACCATACAGAACACTTAAAGAAGAATTTCCTTAACACATAATGTTCCTGTTACTTTGGGATACATTTGGGGTCAAGAGGAATCCAAGCTTTGCAAATATCAGGCACCGGGGTTCTACAACATTCCCACTCTCATCTGCTTCCTGCCTCGGCCCTCTCTCAGCACGGGTTCTTCTCATGGTTCCAACTGAAGGCAGTTTAAGGAAGAGACTAGATACACCTGAACCATGCCTGGGCTGGAGTTAACCAATCACTGTTCTCCCAAATGAATGGCGATGTCTCGAAGCATTAACACAGCTCAGGACTAAGACCATGGTTTGAGAGAATTCCCCATCTATAGAACTCATCCTCAGATCAGCAGACTCACAGTTTCCCCTAGGAACTTGACATCAGTAAAAAAAATAAAAATAAAAATAAATCACTTTTGTTGAAAAATGAACCCATTTCTTTAATCTAGTACCCCTGTGGATTGAGAGTTCATCCCAGCGACCTTGCTCATTTTCTACCTCATCAGTCACTTCATGGCCAAAGCCCAGGTTAACAGGAAACCTCTGAGTTGATGGAGGGGGAGAAGTCACTGAGCCGAGTCCAATGGCAGACTGGGCTGTTAATTGGCCTTTTGGGTATGTTCAGCTTGGGAAATGGAGCACCGGGGGTTCTTTCTCCTACTCCTTCCTATCTAAACAGTACTGACACTCCCCAGCCAGGATAACTGTAACAGCTCAATGGCTTTAGACTATTCTAAATTCTTGAAATGTTTACTACTGAACTTTGGAGACGAAAAATGTCAACCTGCAATAAACACAGGACCCCTAAAAGATATCTGTATTCTGCAAATGGTACCAGCCACAAACGGCTATCTCTTCAGAAAGTAAACACATGAAATCTGATAAGAAACGAGATCATACACAGAATAAACTGCACTCCCAGGCAGCAGACAGATGTGATGTGTTTACCAGACTAGAGAAGATGCCTGGCTTGTGGGCCTCCTGGGTACACCTCCATCACCTCCATCCATGTTTCCCCGCTCTAAAATTCAGAAGGTCAGGAAACCTGGATCCTATTCATTGTCTTCAAACTTGGCCAGCCCTTGAGCTCAGGAAGCAAGCCCTGTATACACCATGTCTTATCTATAGATTCAGTAAAAACTACCCACCTGGTTGGACTGTTAGCTGGGGCGTGGCCTAGGGTTCATTTAACACACATGGCTAGGCTGTTGGTTGTTAATGATAGTAAACAGTTCAGCCACAGAAACATGTAGTTGTAGCAATCAGCATATTTGAAGTTTTCCCACCAACTCTTGCAAAACACCTTTTTCACATTGCTTTCAGTGTGGCTACAATAATAAAGGAATGAGGAAGTCTTATTTATGAAAAATGGAATGCAAGAAAGGGTATTCATTAGAAGGTTTAAAATGGAGCCATGAGCACTACTGTAAAATGCATGATGAGATCATTCAACAAGTTTTCTCCTCTCTGGGGGACTGGAAAATAGCCACAACAAAAATTATACAATGATAAAATTCTGTCCCCATCCGATTAATTACTTGTGAATAATAACTTCTCTGGTTCCTTTCAATTATATTCTAATTGCACACCTTTTGCTCTGTCTGATTGGGCAATGAATTAATGAATAAGGACTACTACTGGATTTAATTAACACCATTTTTCCTGTGGCCTTTACATATCTGTTGTGAACATGGAAATTCACTCTCCCAGGGCTGGAACTTAAAGAAGGCTAGCCTTGAACCCTGCAAAACCTGTTCCTTCCAGTCAGGCTGGCTTCTCTGCTGCCAAGTGTGGGTGACTAAAGGTCTCAAGTATCTGCCTGAACTCAGGGAAGGGCTTTCCTAATAACAGCCTCAATATTCAAACACTTACCTTTTCATAAAGCATTAGCAATGTGCATGTTACAATCATCCAAAGAGACGGATAAGTGAGCTATCTGGGAGTCAATTACAGTGTCATTCATAATTTATTCCATGTACAATGAAACGCTGATCAGATTTCATGTGTGTTTACTTTCTGTAAAGATAAGCACTTATGGCTGGTACCCAGAGTAGAATACAGATATCTTTCAGGGTGATGTGTTTATCTCAGGTTGACATTTTCAATTGTCAAAAGTCCTCCCCATTTTCCAAAAAAGTTGTCTGGGCTTGAAAACTAAAGCCCACGCTTTAAAAAGAAAAGACCAGTCTGGAATCTTACTATCTCAGCTCGAGCAAGAAAGTCATGAATATGCTCCCTCTAAACACACAGGCAGACAAATAGACGTTTCTTCCGAGAGACAGATAAGTGCAGACTCCCAGGGCTAACAGCAGTGGAATCACAGGCACACTGCAGTCCCCAAGTGTGGATACCAGTGACCCACCTCGGAAACCTTGGAGCAGATTTTTGTATATAGATCACATTCACCCAGGGTGTTATCCCCTCTGACATACTGCAAAAACTGAAATACGTTAAAGGATTTTAAAAAGTATTTTCCAAGATACAAACAAAGCAATATTTTTGCAAGACCAGAGAAGACACATGGCCAGAGGGTCTCCCACATAGCCCTCCATCAGTATCTCCAAGCTCAGGGTGCAGCTGCCCTCCCACCCTGCCAAGCCAGCCCCAGCTGTACCTCATATCTGCTGACTTGCTGTTCAGCCACCTTCAGCCCGGGGCACATTTGGATGAAACAAACTTTGGCTCTTCTCTGGGAAGGAAGCCAGTCCCTCTTCACCAAATCCATGACCATTACATGGTTTTTCAGGCTGGTACTAAAGGCAGTTATCTGAAAGGTGGGGAGCACAATCTTCCCCTCCTCGGGAGGTTTAACAGGCATTCCGGAGCACTGTGTGACACTGGGAATCTTGTGACTTCAGCGAGCCAGCCTGGCAAACACAATTTTCTTTGTTAGATGCAGGTATTGAGTGCAGCAGGAGGGGTTTGGGACCAGCTCCAGTGCAGGCCTGTGTTTTCCAACTTCACGGACAGTTGATCCAAAACCCATGCTACAGGGGGCTCATGAGAGAGTTGTGGAAACCCCTTGGGTGACCTTTAAATGCCACGAGAAAACTTCCTCTGCTGCAGCCTGGCCAACTCCAGTCTCCCGCCTGGGCTCTGAGGTCTTGCTGTCTTCTCTGATTTCAAAGAGGCACGCTTCTTTCTCACTTGCTTTCTGCTGGCCTTTAAGTTCCAGACTCTGAATTCGCCTGGTTACTGAGAGGTTCGATATGGGTTTCCGTCTCTAGACCCTCAAATCCAAATAAATTATTTACAGAGCTCTGAACAAAGGAACCAGGAGGGATAATTGCTGCTCTTTTAGAATGTCTGCTTTTGCTTGCCAGGGGCCTGAAAGGAACTCGTACAGACTGCCCACCAGCAGGCACAAAGCGTGGCCTCAGCCCTGCAAAAAGTCAGAGTACACTCAGGGGAAAAGGGGCTCACAGAAGTGACAGCTGGAGGTGGGCATGCCGAGACACCGTGCCCGGAAGGCTCGGGTAGGGGCTCCCATCCAGAGTCAACCGTGGACGTCTTCTTGAACCCTGAGCCTCAGTTTCCCCCAGGAAGAGCACTGGGATAGAATGGCCCTCCCTCCCTGCCCCTCCCCAGATTATGAGGATCAGGTGAGCTACAGGACGAGGAAAGAGCTGTGTGTGCCGGAGCTGGCGAATGTGCCAGAGCTGTGGTACACATGGCTCTTAGGAGATAGTTACAGTTTCTGCTCAAAACTTATTTTGCACACTTCTCTCTCCACAGCGGAACCTAATAGTGCCATGCTTATGAAGGTTTACTTTATGCAAAAAGTTATTAGATTCTGAATGTCAGGCTGCTTGGAATACAGTTGAAGGAGTGCCGTCCATTTTCATTTCCTGTGTTGGGGCCGTTTCTATTCAGCTGGTCTTGGGAGCCGTTAGTCAAGGGTGTACACAAGACAAAGCAGATGGCAAGGCACAGAACTCTTCTTGCAGGGGATTTCTGCTTGGCTTTCTCCAAGGATGACCTTGTGGAAACTTTACCTCACCCCACATTGCAAGCCAGGGAAGGGTGAAGGAAGGCCTTGGTGACTTTCCCAGAAGCAGAGCTCAATGTCAGCTAACACCTTGCTTCTTCCTGCTGTGTACAGGGTCTCTGCAAGTCATAGTCCATGGCTAGGGCCTGGACAATGGGGTTTTAGACTCTTGTTACTGGGGCCAGGAGTTGAATGTTGAAGCTGAGAATTGAAGCTCAGGAGGAGATGGGAAAGGCTTGAGGTCATTTCCACCAGTGTTTGCAACTGAGTGTGAAAACAGTATGCACAGACTAAATACCAGCCCAAGGTCACAACAGCATGTCTACTGTATTCATTGGTGACTCTGGCTTTCCTAAAGACATCAATAAGAGCATAAAACCCAGCTGGTGGCAGGCTTTATTCACACTGGAAACTCTCCAGGGAGGCAGAGAATGCCATGTTGGATTTCAGAAGCAATAGGATGAAGGCAGTCAGGGGAAAAAAATAATTTATTTTATCAAAGACCTCAACAAAGAAAGGGATCTGCATACGTGGTTTGGGCTCTGAAGGTCTAACCCACTGCCTCCTCAAAATCTGCTTCTGAGCCGGGCGGTGGTGGCGCACTCCTTTAATCCCAGCACTTGGGAGGCAGAGCCAGGCTGATCTCTGTGAGTTCGAGGCCAGCCTGGGCTACCAAGTGAGTTCCAGGAAAGGCACAAAGCTACACAGAGAAACCCTGTCTCGAAAAACCAAAAAAAAAAAAAAAAAAAAAAAAAAAAAAAAAAAAAAAAAAATCTGCTTCTGGTACCTCTGAGTTCCTGCCCAGCAGGTCCTGCAGGTCTGAGAACAATCGAGATTTTTCTTCTAGTACCACAACATACTGAAGGACTCTGAGCCACGTAGAAGCTACCAGAGCTACCTATCCAGAAGTTCCAAGACCAGCCCGGGGAAATTTACTCAAGGTTGGCTGGTTGTTATGGTAACTAGCTCTCTGAGGCAGATGATGAGCTCACCTGGCCTGTGGGTGACTCCTCCCCCTCCACTGAGTGCTACAGTGGCTGGTCACGGGACACAGTTGTAGTGTGGCCAAATAAAGGTCTCAAGAGTCTTGGTCAAGAGGGCTGAACTGGAGTCTGGAGGTCGTCAGTGTAGGGAGTCAGGACGGAAGGCCAGAGAGCAGGGAACTTGAATGAGAAGTCAGAGGGCTGGAGCAACCACTGACAGACAGTTGGGAGATGAGTTTGCATGGATGACCTAACAAACACATGGATTTGGATGAGGCTCCATGGCTCCAGCATCAGTCCCCTTTGTCAGTGGCCCCCTGGTTGTTTTTGACAGCCTTAGACTTAAGAGTATCAGTTCACACCATTGCAGACATGCATCGGCAGAGAGCTTCTCTACCCACCTGAGGCAGAGTCTCGCCTCCTGACTATGCTGGGATTACAGATGCACATCCCCACACCTGGCTTTACAAGAGTTCTGGGAATTTCAACTCAGGTCCTCATGCTATGAGCCATCTCCCCAGCCCCTCTTTTCCTTAAAGTGAACATCTTGTTCACTATGAAAATTAGACCTCTGCTTTGCTAATGTCCTGTGGAAGGTCCAATTGAATCTCCCTAAATGGGCCCTAAAAGTGACTAACTAAAACTGATATTGGTGGCCATTGCTATTCCATGACAACCAGCCGCAGCAATGAGCCTCAAATATGTTCCCAGTTGGGACAGATGGGGAACGAGGCTCTTACTCTCCGTTCCCTGGATGTGATATACAGGGTTGCATAGAACATGCATCGAAGTATTTAAATAATGAATTATTCAAAAAGAAAGGGAACTGTGGGTACCTGGTGCCAGCAATCCATGCTTGTGAATTCTTAATCTGTTCTCCGGTGGGATTACCGTTTACAACTATGAAAGACGTCCTAATTATGCAGCTTCAGCGTTGATTTCCTGCAAGGCCTGTGCTGATCTAAAAGGCATTAGGCAACAATAAAAAGAGATGGCTATGAAGTTCTGAATACATAACCAAGTCTCCCTTTTGGAGGGGAAGACACTTCACCTATAACTGCTTCATTCATCAGGTGGGAACTGAAGTTTCCTCCTGGTACAAGGGCTGACTGCTGGAGCATCTTTTAACACAAACAGATGTGTGGAAGCCACACAGGACCATGGCAAACCCACAGACTCTTCTGTTAGCTGTTCCTGCTAGAACAAAAGAGAAGGATTGAGAGTGCTGTGTCTATAGGGTGGGGGGAACTGGGCTTTTTAACGTAAGAGGAAGGAACTGTGAGTTTATTTGGTACTTCCATCTGTTGCTACGTATTTGGGCTGTGTTGAGTGATTGCCTCAATGTAGTGGGAAAGAAGGAATCTTTTGGTCATCAAGTGTAAGTGTGGGATGGTTGGTATTAATTGTACACTTGACAGAATCTAGAATCATCTAGGAGAGTGGCCTCTGGGCATGTCTGTGGGGGATTATCTTGATTGTGTTCACTGAGATGTTTGGAAAGGCTTGCCCACTCTGGGTGGCACCATTCCCTATTGGGATTCTAGACAGTATAAGTGGAGAAAGGGTGCTGAGCAGCAGCATGCATTGATCTCTGCTTCCCCAGTGTGAATTCGATGTGACCAAACTGCTTCAAGACCTTGCCACTTTGACTCCCCACCATGATGGATTATACTTTTGAGATATGACTCAGAATAAACCCTTTTGTCAGCGTATTTCATCACAGTAACGGGAAAAGAAGCTAAGTTATTTGTTCAGTAGATGTGGGAAATAAGAGATGTTATAGAGATATTTCCTCCTGATTGAAACATTCACTCCTTGGGGTGTTCCTGAGGCTCCGCAAGACTCCACAAGCTCAGAACAACACAAGACTCACAGGCTGGTCCCTAGGGTCCTATAAACAGTAAGCAACCGATGGACAAGGAGAGGAGACTCTCTGGTGGAGCCACCTGTAAGATGTGCATGGAGCTCCATGGATGCATGTGGCTGCTTTCGAGTGACCCACATTCCTGTAAGTAACTCCTCATACATGCCACTGTAAGTAACCCCAATAAACTCACTGCTTCCAAGCTAGATTTGAGTAAAGTCTTCTCCTTGTTCTATCGTCATGTGGGGTAAATAAACATCTGTTTATGTCTTCCCAGGAAAAGTCAGCAACAAAAAGAGTTGATGGCTTTATGCACCACTCTCTCTATTGGGAACAGAAACTTTCCCCTACTTCCTTTGGAGTGTTTGGAAATCGTGATAATTTGATGTTTGGGAAGTGGCAGACACAGGGGTTGGGTGTGGGGACTACAACAGGAATCCCAACAATATTGGCACATTCACCGACATCATTCACTTGCCCCCACTTCTGCAAACAATCGAGAATCATTTATTTAGCACCCACTGGGTGTTCAGTGCTGTGCCAACTGCTCTGATTAAATATTCAAAGCCACTTCTAATGTTGCTGAAAACCAAAGCAACCTGCGGTTAGGGGAAAATCATATTTTTCTTCTTCAGATCCACCGGGAGGAGAGAGTTATTTGAAGACAATGCACGGTGTTTTCCTATTTTCCCTCCAACATCTCTAATGGATCTTGACAAAGAAAAGCCATGACTTTAGAAATTGCATTTGATTTTAGAGAGTAGATCTCGACAAGCAGGAGGGAGGAGGGTTGCAGCTGACTTTTCCCGGAAATATTAAACCCAATTTCCTGTTTACATCCTAGAGCAATCTAACTCAACAAGAAGAGTTAGGTGGCTGCCACTTTCCCCTCCACAAAGGACGGCTGTGCCTTCCTCTGCCAATGTACACAAGGCAGCTCTTTGGTTACAAGCCTGGCGAGAGGAGCAAAGGACAGAGACCTATTGCTGTGGCCTGAGAGTGGACATGCCACTTGTTCCAATGAACTCCACACAAACACATCCACCATCTCTCCCAGCCATGTTTTCTTATGCGAGTAAATTAATTTTTTAATGAGTTTACATAAACAGATTTCTGAAATGCAATATTTACCAGCAAAATACCCATGGGCAATATTAAGCTTAGCCTCCTCATCTTCTTAAAGTTTTACTGGCTTACAGCCACTGCCAGCCTCCTGAACTCTCATCATGTCATGTGACAGGTGGGAACGGCTGACCTGAAGTGTGGGACTCTGGGCACCTGATAGACAAAGCCTAGCTCTTTGGCCAATATGTGTGCTTTGTCCTGGATTATTAGTAATAAAAATGACTTTCTATATGCCCCTACCTCTCAGGCATCCCACACCCCA